ACACGCAGGCCTCCCCCACAGGAAGCCTCAACGCTCTGAAACTGGCTGACAACCAGGCTTGGGTTCTGTGCCACCGCGGCAGGTGACAGTCCCCAAGGAGGGCAACGTCCTGTCCCAATCCTGGGAACTGTGCATCTGTCACCTGCCCAAGCAGAGAGCCAGGGCTGCTCATCTGCGGAAGGGCCTGCAAGTAGGCAGAACAGCCTGGATTAGCCAGGCCAGACCCAACGTGACCACAGAGGTCCTTAAATGTAGACAAGGAAGGCAGAAGAGGCGGCTGGAGTGACACACAAAGGACACAGTTGAAGCTTTGAGGATAGAGTCGTGACACGCGGGTGCCCCTAAAAGCTGCAACAGGCAAGAATGAAACCCTCCGGAACCTCCCGCAGGGTAGCTCCACCAACACCCTGACCCAGCCCAGGGAAGCCCTTGGCTGGATTTCCAACCCACAGAACCGAGAGAATAAGCAGCCGCTGTTCCAAGCCACGCCCCCTGCCCCCACTTGGTGGCACCTGGCAAGTGTGGCCCGAGGAAACAGCAGTGGCTTCAAACAACAGCCATGCTCTCTCACAGTTCCGAAGCCAGACATCTGAGGTCAGGGTGTCGGCCGTGCCAGGGCCCTTCAGAGGGGCAGAGGGTCCTTCCATCTCTTGTGGTCTCTGGTGGCTCTCAGCAACCCTCAGTGCCCCTTAGCAAGTGGACATGTCACTCCAACCCCTGCCTCCACCTTCACACGGTCTCCTTCCTCCAAGGACACCTGTCACATTGGACATAGGCCCCACCCTAATCCAGGTGACCTCATCTTGACTCTGTCTGAAAAGACCCTTTTTCCAAATAAGGTCACAGGTGCTGAATGGACATGAATTTAGGGGTTTCTATTTAAGCCAGAAACACAGCCCTCTAGCAGGACAGATCCCAAGAGGTAGACATGTCACAAGGAGGGTTGACTTCTTAGGACCTGAGATTCCCACATACGACTAGGCCCCCTTGGCCATGCAAAGTCCTGGGGGACGCACAGCTTTTCCCACTTTCACTACCTTCATTTCCTTCCAAGTGTGTGGTCCCTATGTTTCTCCCGTGGGCCCACCTGGAGGTTTCTCCCTAAAGCGTGTCTTCTCCCAGGCTCAAGATCTGCTGTGTGGACGGACCTGCAGAAACAGCGCACTGTTCCTGTTTGTGTAAGCGTGTATGTGTGTGTGTTTTTTTTTTTTTCTGGACCCCGTGCTGGTCTTGAACTCCCATCCTCAAGCCATCCTCCTGCCTCAGCCTCCCAAAGTGCTAGGATCACAGATGCATGCCACCACACCCAGTCCTCTCTTCTTTTAACTTGATGAACCCAAAGCCCAGTCCCACCCCAGGCAGCGAGACCAACACGTTGGGAGTCCAGCCTTTCCCACCACAGTATACCTTACACAATGCTAGAATTTTGTGACGTTTCTTCTTTATTCTTAAACGACAAAAAAAGCACAAACCTGGACACCTCCCTCACCCAGAGGCACCTTTCTTTCCTGCAATTTCCCCGAGAGTGTCTCCTCTGTCCCCAGCCACTTGTGACCCCAGCCAGGGCCCACAGCAGAAGCCTGTGACAACCCAGGTCCCCCCCACCCTCTGGAAACGTTCCTTTCACTTGGGTCTGGGACACCCTCTTGGCCTGGAAGGGCCACATCCCAGCCCAATGGACACCCATCCCTAACCGAGCTGCCCCCAGCTCAGGCATCAAGGCTCATCTACCAGCAGATGACACCCAGGTGTCTCTAGCCCAAATGGCTGTCAGGGAACATGCAGAGCCCTTCTGGACATCTGTTTGGAGAAGAAGTTTAGGCTTGGGCTTTAGTAGAAACTTGTGATTAATAACCGGAGAGTTCTAGAAAAAAATTAATCTCGTTTTTAAGGAACAACAGCAGTGCTGACAGAGCATTAAGGAACTATTAGGGACAAACATGGAGAGATGACAACACACTTGCCAGGTTCAGACCTCACCAGCAGAAGCCTGGAGGTCAAAGGGCGGCCTGCGTGCATCTGGAAAACACTGGCCCATCATGGCAGGTCCTGCTGCTACCAAAGACAGCATGGCCCAGAGAAGAGATGCCCTCCCCATGGAGGCGGTGTCCTGAGCCCAATCACGAATGGCCGGGTGTCAGTGCACGGGTTTGGGGGTTTAGGTAAAACGATAATAAAGTCCCCGGCACAGGGCTGGTCTCCCTATCAGCACATGGAAATTAACAGAGGCTGATTTCTCACATTACCTTCCAGTGTTGTCTCATCTGGTGTTTCCTTCATTCCTTTTATATTTTGTATTTTTCATTTATTTAATATGCTCTAGTTCCACAAATCACTTTTTCAGTACTGTCTGCTTTAAAAAGTCCTACTTCCAAAGAATGTGTTAGAATAAACATTTTGAAGTATATACTCAAGTGACTTTGTCCTACTAGAAAATCCCTATAAAAAGTGTGTGGCCTGTTTTAATAGCAGCACATCGCTTCGTGGTATACAGCAATTTCAAATTATGACAGTTCTCGGCTCTTCTTAATGTGCTTTGATCTTCTAGTGATGGGATTTCGCCGCAAGTGGAATAATTTGGTCACACTGAAGATCAATCTTTGTATTACCTAGAATCGAGAAGTGCTTGGAATCTGGGACAGGCCTGGGGTAATGTTTAGACTTCAGGCTGTTTTGAAATGTGATGGCTGGGTGCGGTGGCTCACGCCTGTCATTCCAGCACTTTGGGAGGTGGAGGTGAGAGGATTGCCTAAGCCCGGGGGTTTGAGACCAGCCTGGGCAACTTGGTGAGACCTCGTCTCTACAATAAATCAAAAAATTAGCCGGGCAAGATAACACACGCCTGTGGTTCCGGCTACTTAGAAGGCTGGGGTGGAAAGATCACCAGAGCCCAGCTGGTCAACGCTGGGGTGGCCATGAGCATGTCACTGCACTCCAGCCTGGGTGACGGAGTGAGGCTCTGACTCAAAAACAAAAAACAAAAGAAAAGCTCTGTCTGACCCCACTTCCAGGAACAGGAGAGCAGGTGAGCACCTTCACAGGTCATGTACAGACACATGCTGCTGAGGCGATAAACTAGTCAGACACACCAAGGCTTCCAGGCAGGCACGTTTTAAAATATCTTCCAAAAGAGTATATTGGGTTTTTTGTATTTACTTATTCAATGACGGCTTAGTGCTACAGGGTGAACCAGACCATCCATTACATAAATTCAGCTGCAGATGTAAACAGTTGTCTGAAGAAAAAGCAGCCTTTCCCCTCCACTCTCACACCACGGTCCCACACACCAGGCAGCTGGGACACGTCCTCCACTGCGATCCTGGCACCAGTCACCTGGAGGCGGCATCAGAACCCACAGGCTGAGGGCTCAGTCCCCAGGACGACCCCACTGCAGATGCCAATTGCAAGTGGCAGACTATCACCTACACTTCTGGCCGACCAGCTAGAAATCAAGGCTCCCATGGTTCCCTCCTTGGGTCCCATTAACTCACTAGAGTGGCACACAGAATGCAAGGTCACAGTTTCCTTATACTTACCCATTTATGATAAAGGACACAGACAGTCAGACGAAGAACTCACAGGGCAGGAGCTCCGATGCCCTCTCAGAGTGCCACCCTCCCAAGAGCTGCCCCGTGCACAATGGTTGGAAGTTTTCAAGTACACAGCCCTTCTGGGTTCTCAAGGCTTCATACCATAGTCACAAGTGATGATGTCAGGCCATTGGTGACCAACTCAACCCTGCGTCCCTCTTCCCCCCAGGCTGAAAGTCCCCTCCCCCTGATCCCAAGGCTGTTTCTCCCGAAAACTAGCCCCATCCCGGGCTACCCAGGGGCCCCACAGATGCTCTAATGAGAACAAGAGATGCTCTGATCATCCAGGCAATGACCAAGGTCTTAGGATCTGTGTCAGGAGCCGGGGTCACGGGGTCAGAGACCAAATGTCAGCACACGATTCTCCCAGTGCCCCATCCTCAGGGTGGGAGGAGCTCCTTGCCGGGGACCCTGGCAGACACCAAATGCCTACTTCTGAATTCTCACAACACCACAGGCTGCTGCCCTGATTGCTGTCGATCCCTCGAGTGACTTTCTGGAGAGAACGCTTCCCCATAACACCAAGGGGGTACCTCGCCCAGATGCCTGGGCTGACCAGACAGGCAGAAGGACCAGCCTGTGCAGGGTCTGGTGGTCCACTCACCCCCACTGCCCAGGGCACCTTCAGCACAGGAAGGGTCTGTGAGCTCACACATGCCCTGCTTCCGCTTTCATGGCAAACTCCTTACACAGGAAGATCTATTTCTGACACCATGGCTTGGTGATTTTTAACAGGTGACATACCCTGAAGGCACGAAGTCTATCTTGGAGAGTGACATCCTTCCTGGAGCAGTGCTTTTATTGAGTCAGGGGTCATCTCTGTTGCCCAGGCTGGAGTGCAGTGGCATGATCACAGTTCACTGCAGCCTTGACTTCTCTGGGCTTGGGTGATCCATTTCCTCAGCCTCCCGAGTAGCTGCGACTACAGGCACACGCCATTGTGCCCAACTAATTTATTATTATTTTTGTACAGGTGAGGTCTCACTATGTTGCCCAGGCTCGTTTTACTTTTTTAAACCCACACTCACATCTCTGGCCCCTTCAAGACCCAGGGACTCAGTGAGAGGCATCTGTCTCCACTCTACCCTAACTGCATTGGCTGAGACTTCCTTGTTTTTCCCTGTGGTTTTCCTATACTTTGTATTACAAAACAAACAACAACGTGAGGGTTTTTTTTGGTGTTTTTGTTTCCTCCAAATGTTGAAACTGCACTTCCATGCAGAGCAGGCTTGGGAAGCAGTCCAGGCAGGAAAGCCCAGAGCCTATCAGGAGCGGGTGCTCACCGGACCTCCGTTGGTCCCCGGCTGAGGATGTCTACACCCTCAAGCGACGATGATTTGCTAATCCTCACGCAGCCACACGTAAGCGCCAATAGATGGCGGCTGAGGACAAACCACGCGGGGAGCTGGGTCATGGTCTCAGACTTGAGATGCTTTTAATAATAAAGTTATGCCAAAATACAGCAGCAAATACAGAGTTGATTATTAACAAACTTAGAACCCCAGAGACGTGTGAAACAACAATACAAAAGATGGTGACTAATCAAACAGCTCAAGTTCACATTAACAATTTTTTAAATCACACTAATTCTTTCCAAAAACATGTCTTCCTCACGCCCAGCCATGAGTGGCCTTCAGCCTCAACGGTACCCAAATAAACTTACATGTCAAGACTCATTCGGTAAGGACTAGGATACCCTGTAAGTCATTCAGATGCTTGAGATAGGACACATGGTCTCAAATAATTCTTTAGTATGTTTTTTCTTTGGGGAAAAAAAAGTAATGTCAGTGGCTAAAAATTAAGTATGTTTGGAAGCAGCAGAGGAAATATATTCACTACCAGCCTATACCAGAGAACTGGGCAATGGCAAGATTTGTGGCTTACAAAAGACACCATAAATACGGCATTTATGTAAAATCCTGCCGTATCTGACCGTGCTTTTGTCTCAGGAAAAAAAAATCCTCACTTTCCTGAATACAAGTAGATGCTTATTAATTTTTTTTAAAGTGAGATCAGATGGCTGTGGGAAGGAAGTGATCACATTTATCTAAGAAACTGGGACGCCAACCAACACGTGCAGCCTCCCAAGACCTTGCAATCTCCTCTGTGAGTTTTTGTGGAAGAGGAAACACAGCTGCGGGGTTCAGAGACCTTTCGTGACAAGAAGCGACACGTGCGGAGCCTCTCTTCTCCTCCAGGAGGGCCCGCGTGCCAGGGGACAGGTTGCAGGAAGGCACTTACCTAGCTCATCTGGGCAGGGGAAACAAGAAGCCAGTCGGGCAACAAGTAAGTCTCAGAGAGTCAGACATTCTGCAGGACTTACACCCGACCACTCTCAGTGCTGCCCGGCCAGTGCCAGGCATGTCCGTCTAGGAAGCCTGGGCCCCAGGAAGGTCAGGCCCTCCCACCCGCAAGCCCAGCACCCGCTCTCGATCGCTGGCGGTCGTACTTCACAGACACGATGAGGAAGAGCAGGAGGGTGGCTCCCTGAATAGCAGCCAGGAGGAAGAAGTAATAGTTCAAGTAGCAGCCATTGATGTTACCTGGGGAAGACAAGAAAAGGGGTCAGTCGAACTCCTGGGCACCCTGAAAGATTCTACCACCTGACCAGGCTCCTACAAAGTCCATGGAAACTTAACTGTGGTCACGAAAGGAAGGTGAGACACTGTGTTCTCCACATACTTCAAGGGCACCTGCCGCTCATTTGCTTAAAAAGGTGAGACTCCCTTTCCCCTGAAGGCCTTTTCAAAGTTGGGCTACTCTGAAACTTCCTTTTTCCAGCTGAACAGATCATTCATATCAGATGCTTCACAACCTGCTCATCAGATAAGCATAATAAATAAATGAAACATGCATGTTTGTATGATACAAGCTCACACGTTTTTGAAGAATCCTCACTCACCAGGTTACAGACAGTAATTTCCCATGTCTGTTGATCTGGGAAGAAATCTGCTAATACCTTGAATTTCCACCAGACTAAATAAAGTTTATTTTTTTGACTAATGTTTTAAAATACTGGTTTAGCCCTTACGACCTGCCAGGCTCCAAGGTGGGCAGGCAGTGGAGACACAGATCCACTCCCCCGAGCCTGGTGTCTGACGTCACGACTATCCCAGCATCAGCATTTGAGGCTATGGTGACAAGATGTCACTAGTATACCAATGGCATCATTTCTGAAATATGAGTCTCCCCAAATAGAGTCATTTGAAGCTTGAGGGTGCAGGGTGCTGCCTCACCTGACCTGCATGGCATGGGTCACCAGGACACTCGGAAGTGCAGCCACCACCCAGGAAACCACCACCCTGTGCTTTCCTGGGCCTCTTTACAAACCGAAAAACACAGAAACGTGATGAACGTCGGGGTTTTGACACTTGATAAGACAGACACGGGCCCCAGAGCAACGAGAGCATCTGTCCACCAGCCCCACGCGCAAGATACGGCGGGCACAATTCACGACAGCCCCGTGTGGCAAACATCGCCAGTCAACCGCAGAAAGGCCAAGTGGCAGGGACAGGCTTGTGCACTGCAACACCCCTCGGAAGGCACCAAGCGCGAGTTCCGTGGAGGCTTCACAAGCCCAGTGCTGGGCAGAAGAGGAGTCACTCCGAGCCCAGGACAGGCGGGGTGGCCTACGGCGGCCAACGCAAAAACTGCTTATTGGGGGGCAGCCAACTGAGGAGATGCCAGGAGGCTTCGGAGACACTCTGTGCACAGGCCTGGGCACACACCTGAGCTACACACCTCAGGCCCATGCACTGGACACAGTAGCACAGGTTCCCCAGTTTAAACAACTCCAGTACAAATAAAGGGAAGAATGGGCAGCTGGGGGGACAGAGGAGGAGGAGGCAATGTCACAAACACCGCTGCACCCTCCCCGCGCAGTCCGGCACCTGTTACCTCAACAATGCTGACACCGGGAGGCAGGGAAGCAGGGAGGCAGGAGCCGGGAGGGCAGAGCCCAGGACAAAGGCCCACCATAGGTGCAAGGGCGTGTCTGAGCTGCCTCTTTCAGACACCCGGAAGACCTCCCCCACCAAGCCCTCCAGCACCTCCTCCGGCAGCCATGTGCCCCAAGTGGGAGGAGGCGGGAAGCTGCAGGGCTTCCCTGGGCCCCCTTCCCAAAGGCCCCCGCCCCGCAGCCCGTTTCTCCAGCCAGCACAGGACCCAGCCCTCCTTGCTGGTGTGAACCAGAGGCTGCTGTGCAGTGAGGGCTGCTGGGAGGCACTGGGAATGCCCCACATCCCACGCACGTGTGCCCAGCGCACGGGTGTCGGTGAGAGCCAAGGGGGAGCTCACACACAGCCTCCAGCAGGCCATGCAAATGAAAGGTGACCTCAGATGCTAAATCAGTCACGAGGGGTTAAATGCCTGAAAACCAGTGCAAATGACAAAGCCCAGCCCATCCTTCACGATTCACTTAAAGATAGGACAAAAACAAAGAAACAGCATCTTCCTCTTAATGACAGTAGCTGGTCTTTCTTTGAAGGACACCTGTTCCCTGGACTACAAGAAAGCCGTGACACCCAGAACCCACTGAATCCCCAGACCTCACCGAGCCACTGGACCTCACTCCATGGACTGTTTGTCCTTAGAGGGCCGATCATGAGACAGAAACCCCAGGTGGCCTGCCCTCTTCAGAATGAGCCCCAGGCCTGTCAAGAGGCACTAATGCAGTTGGACATCACTGGATACGGTGTCCGAGGGACACTGGTGGTCTGGGCTCTGGGTCTTACATTAGGATTCCACAGGCCTACGCTCACCTGTCAGGACAGGAATGTGGACTCAACCACGGAAGGGCATTGGGAATGGTGCAGTTTCTACAGAGAAGCCCCTCGATGCTGGCCAGATTTTCAGGGGGATTTGTAAGCTCCAAGTGGCTAAGCACTACCAGACCACAGCAAATGCTGTGCCACCACACAAAGACATGCAACAGGGCTGTTTTCACAGATATATTAATAAGAAAAAGAAAAAGAAACCATCACCTCCTGGGTCCATTTGAAAGCTGTCATAAATCTAGAGAAAGCAGAACTGATCTTCTGTGAGTAGTCAGCTCAACACTCAAGATGCCACCTACTGGTATTAACTGCAGAGCTCTCTTATGGTTGACCATGAGTAAGATGCTTATTAAAAAAGACAACTTAGGCTGGGCACGGTGGCTCACGCCTATAATCCCAGCACCTTGGGAAGTTGAGGTGAAAGGATTGCCTGAGTCCAGAGACCAACTGAGGCAACTTGGCAAGATCGCATCTCTACAAGAAATCAAAAAATAAGGCGGGCATGCCTGTAATTTCAGATACTTGGAAGACTGAGGTGGAAGGATCACCTGAGCCCAGCAAGTCGACGCTGTGGTGGCCATGAGTGTGCCACTGCACTTTAGCCTGGGCAACAGAGTGAGACTTCAACTAAAAAAAAAAAAAAAAAAATCAACTTATTGTTTATCCTTTGCTTTTTAATACCAGAAATTATAAAGACACTGTCAGGAAAAGAGAGAAAATACAAAACCTAGTTAAATAAAGGGAAATCTGCGAAATGAATTTCATCTGCCTCGGGAAGATAGGGCCAGACGTCAGGTGGCGAAGGGTCCCCTGTCGAGGATGTTCCCAGGAGAGCGTCACCAGAGGGTCACAGGGATAAGAAGAGAGACCATGTCTCTCTGGAGAAGCTTCTAACAAGGCAGGAAATGCAAGCACACTGGTGTCCAGCGCAGACAGGAAGCGTGGACACGCAGCTCTGGGGACAGGCCTCTGTGTTCACTCAGATACCTGAGCCACTCCAGGAACACAGGGCTGCTCTTACCGAAGTCCGTATGGCTGCTCATCCATCCAATGGCTTTGAGGGACACCAGCGCCAGGAGGCCCGAGCCCACAAACGAGCCGACGCCAGAGAAGAAGAAGAACAAACCCATGATGGCACTCTGCATGGACTTGGGAGCAGCCGAATATGCGAATTCCAGGCCTGAGGAAGAAGAGGGCAGACTGTGGAGGGAGCACTTGACACAGCATCGGCGTGCTTGCTCAAGGCAGGCCAGGAGCAGGCCCTTGTGGGCCGAGGAGTAGGCAGGTGCAACTCTCAGGAAGGCCGGGTGGGCTCAGAGGGGAGAAATCGCCGGTCCCGAGCCTGCTACTCAACCCCCACTGACACCCCTAGTGGGCAAAGGCAGCCTCCTCACTCTCAAACGGCAAGCACTGTTGTGTGGTTTGTGGGCTCTTAGAATTTTACTTTTCTTTATAGAAAGAGACCAAAGAGACAACATTCTCCTACAGTCTCAAGGAATGCAAGTTTGAAAACAAAGCACATACAGTAAAATGGGAAATCTACTTAAGAATACTGTTTCACAGGCAATTTTAGCAAGACCGTCTGTAACTTAAGATCTTTTTTCTTTTTTTTTTTTGAGAGACAAGGACTCGCTGTGTTGCCCAGGCTCATCTTGAACTCCTGGGCTCAAGCAATCCTCTTGCTTCAGCCTCCCAAAGTGCTGGGATTACACGCATGAGCCACTGCACCCGGCCAAATTCAGATTTTTATAACTAGACACAGAGATATGCAATGGACCCAACATGAAAGACTGTTCTGCTATGAATGCCTCCCCCCAGAGTTATCAGCCGATTCTGCACGAGGCTTCTGAGGGGAAACCACTGCCGACCACCTCCCACATGACCCACCCAGTCTGACATCCCTCAGTCCTCTTGCTCCCAGCAGCCAGACGCACGTGCCCAGAACACCCGTGCCCAGCCACTATGGAACCTCACTAACGGGAAGGGGAGGCCTCCGAAGCATGTCACTTAAAAATGAGCTCTGCACTGGGAGTGGTGGCTCACACCCAGGGGTTCAAGACCAGCCCGGGCAACTTGGTGAGACCTCATCTCTACAATAAATCAAAAAATTAGCTGGGCATGGTGGCACGCGCCTGTAGTTCCAGCTACCTGGAAGGCTGAAGTGAAGGATTGCCAGAACCCAACAGGCTGAAACTGCGGTGGCTATGCACGCCCCTGCATGCCAGCCTGGGAGACAGACTGAGACTCTGACTCAAAAAACAAACAAACAAAAAACAGAAAACGAGCTCTGCTTCTCCACATAAATCTAAACTCTCCCCATGGAGCCGTGAACGGTGCCTTCAGCACAGCCAGCACAGCAGGTGAGACTGCGGTGGGTCAGGAGCAAGGAGGACGGGTCCCACCCAGGGCACCGCCCGTCAGCCCCTGCTTCCTCCTCTCCGCACCCCTGAGGCGGTTAATGCATTTTCATGAAAGACTTTTGGAAGACTGCTTCTGCACTAAGAGAGGGGAGCCTCGCCTGAGTATTAGTGTTTACTAACCAATCCCATTCCAGGCCACAGGCAAACACTCAGCAGTGCTAGCTAGGTCCCAACGGTGTGATAAGAACACCGAGGTCATGCTGCCCGTGACTAGACTCGGGCCCCTGACCCACCGCAGTCTCACCTGCTATGCTGGCAAAGATCTCGCTGATGCCAATGAGCACGTACTGTGGGACCTGCCACCAGATGGGCAGGTCGGCAGCATGGTAAACGACGTTGCCGATGGTCTGATTGATGGTCTTCTGCTTAACAAGGTCCAGTCGTTTACTTTCCAGAATTCCTAGAATTCATAAGTAGGTTAGCGGATCATTTTCAACATGTGCAATTAGACTAAAAAAACTAGATGTGTGCTACATCCACTGGTGACTGAAAAATGCATGAAGGAAGATCGCCCATGGCAGCATCCTCAGAGCCAGGGCCGCATAGCCCCAGCTAGCTGGGCAGGCTGGGCCACCCCACACCGGCTCCATCTGGCCTTTCACCACATGCTGGGCAACGGATACTCGCCCCGCTGACCCGCTCCTGAGAACAGGGACTGCCCACATTCTCTTCGCTTCCTTTAAAAGGGGGAGGAGCAAAACCTCAACAGTCCTGGGAAAAGAGTAACCGTGCTGGTCTCTCAGCAGCAGGGAGTCAAGTTTAAGCTCTCTCCAATCACAGTGTGAATTTCATGAGATCCGCCAATTTATTATGTCGTGACAACAACTAATAACAACAACACTGTCCGATCCTGGCACAGGTGGGATTGACCTTGCAACAGAGTAGCTGACTGCACAAGTCACCTCTGCTCCCCACACACTGAGGCCGCCCCACAGCTGCAGGCTAAATCACCGCTGTTCGTCAAGTACAAAGAAGGACCTGGGAAAAATCAGCAAGCGCTGGACGGCAACCCTTCACAGCACTAAACTGAGCCAGGCAAAGACCACAGGCTGCCATCATCTGGGGGCCAAAGTCCTCGGGCGACAGAGAGCAGCAAGATTCATTTTAAAGAATTCTCACTGCAAATGAAGTAACAGACTCTCTAACACTTAACGTGTATATAAAATACATATGCACTAAATATGTATGAGTAAGAAAAAGGTCTGAGAAGAGGTTGCTGGAATGAGCATAATTAAAAATGCTCCCTGGAAGACCAGGCGTGGTGGCTCACGCCTCTCATCCCAGCACTTAGGGAGGTGAGAGGACTGCCTGAGGCCAGGGGTTCAAGACCAGCCTGGGCAATTGGAGAGACCCCATTTCTACAGTAAATCAAAAAATTAGCTGGGCGTGGAAGCACATTCCTATAGTTCCAGCTACTTGAAAGGCTGAGGTGGAAAGATTGCCTGAGACCAGCAGTTCAAGGCTGCAGTAGCCATGAGCACTCCAGCCTGGGTGACAGTGAGACTCCGACTTAAAAAAAAAATTTCCTTGAAAACCTGAGCAGAAGGGAGGAGCAGGAGATGCACAGGACAATGAAAAGACGGACTAGCACCTATCCCGAGCCCTATCTCAAGTGAAATGCCCGCAAAGAGCAGACATTCAGAGTCCAGCAGAAAGAGGCCTCCCAGTCACCCACAATGCTTCCAGCAGGAGCACCTGGAACATCTCACTGGAAGGGAGTCGAGGGACCTCGATCCTCACACTTGTCCTCCAGTGGAGACATACAGGTGCAGACCCGGGTGTGGAGAGCCTTTAGCTGCTTTGGAAAGGGGCACTGGAGGGCACCTTAGCCAGGCAAGGCTGGTAGTGACAGCAGGGACTGTCCCCAAAGGGCAGCCTTCCACCCTGACGGGACACTGGGCAGCAACCACAGCTCTAAGCCCCTACCCTGGCACCAGCATCATCAAACCCACCGAAGGCACCCCCACTGAAGGCACCACAGGCTCCCCACCCCTGCCGGCTCCCAGGCCTGCAGGTGCCTGCACTGGCCCCAGTCCTCCCGCCAGAATGCGACTCCAGCGAGTGTTCCGCCTGCGAGGAGGGGCACGTGCCGCCTGCGGATCGATGCTCCAGCTGAGCCAGCTCTCTGCACAGGCAAGGACCGCGCTAAGGACACAGTATGTGGGAAGGGGGGCTTCCACGCGGGTACAACAAACAGATTGCACCATGTGAAGAGGAAAGGGCCTGCACCTGACTACTGGCCTCGTCCGGCAGAGAACAGGAGACTTCTGGCTAGAAGCTGCTTTGTAGACGTACTGCCCAAGAAAACACAGACTATGTGAGACTTGGGACGAAAGGTGACAAGGAAGTGAGAAGTGCTGGCCCAAAGGGAGACCCAGAAACGGGACCTCGCACTAAACAAACTCAAGTGAATGGACACGCATCACCGGGAGCCTGGGCAGGAAAAGGAGGCATGCAGTCGGGGAAACACCCCACGGCCCAGCCCAAAGGAAGCTGGGGCAAGGTGGTGGAAGTGACCCTTCGGGAACAACTGGGGCTCCCAGATAGTTTGGAACAGGACACCGAGAAGCAGCCACCAGGCCCAGGGACAGGGCCGTTCCCATCCACTCAGAAGGCAGAGGGAATGGAACGCTGGGGAAGACGCAGGACGACAGCATCCACAGCCCAAGATCACAGAACCTAGAACAGGCCAGTCTGCCGAACCAGCATGGAACCACACAAGAGGGACGGGCTACACAGGGACACCACGGGGGAGAAGAAGAACCAGGAGAAACGGCGAGGGAGCAGCGGGCACCGTCCCCCGACTGCCTCTGCAAAAGGGACAGGCTCTGTGTCCCACCGAGACCCCTCCTTATGCACCGGGCACAGTAAGCAGAAGGGACGTAGCACCAGGCTCTCATCAAGACAGGAGGAGGCGGCTGGCCGGCAAATGGCAGGGCGGGGACAGGCATCAAGCCTGCTGCAATGCTCCCACATGCTCCCCTCCCGTGTTACCCACAGAGAAAACATAAATTGTGCGCTCTTACGGCAAGTCAAATGCCATCAAGTGCTAGACATACAGCCAGACTCTGACAGGGACACACCTCTCTCCATTCTCATCCAAACGAGTAGGCCAGAAAGCCTCAAGTTGGCACAAGGGTCACAAACTAGAGCCACCGGTGGAAACCCAGGCCCTGACAAGTAGTTCCTGAGGTCCATAACACACCAGGTGGGATGCACTGAGGCAGACACAGACATGCCTGTCCCCCTGGGGCTTCGGTGTTTCAGTCAGGTAAACACAGACACTGTTGTGTTCCTGGACCACGTCCTCATCTCTGTGACCCAGGCCCATTACCAGTCCTGAAGTTCAGAGCCCCTGCTGTAAAGGACCTGGTTAACACTGTGGATAGGATTATAATAGACCTATCATTTTATTCAGCACCCTTGAGACATTTTTATAAAGTGATATTAGGCCATAAAGGAAGCTTCAAAGTTCCCACTGCAGGAATTATAAAACCATAATCTCTCCAAACTCCACAACAAAGTCAGCCATCATTATCAAAAGTATAAATAAAAACATCAATATTATAACATTTTTAAATTCTCTGAAACTACTCTTGGATCAAAAGGGAAATCAAGTTGGTCATGGTGGCTCATGCCTGTCATCCCAGAACTTTGGGAGGCAGAGGCAAGAAGACTGCCTGAGTACAGGGATTTGAGATCAGCCTGGGCAACTTGTAGACCTTGTCTCTACAATAAATCAAAAAATTAGCCGGGCATGGTTGCAGCTACTTGGAAGGATGAGGTGGAGGGATCATCTGAGCCCAGCAGGTAGATGCTGCAGTGGCCATGAGCGTACCAGGAAACCAGGACCACAGAGAAAGCAGTACAGTGAACATGCTAATGAACCAAAGCATATGGAACCTAGTCAAAGTGGTAGTAACAAGCAAATTCATAGTATAAATTTTCTTTCTTCCTTTTTTTTTTTGAGTCAGAGTCTCACTCTGTCACCCAGGCTGGAGTGCAGTGGCATGCTCACGGCTACTGCAGCCTCGACCTGCTGGGCTCAGGCAATCCTTCTACCTCAGTCTTAGAAGTAGCTGGAACTACAGGCACATGCCACGACACCCAGATAATTTTTTTTTAATTTATTGTAGAGACAATAACCTCGTCTCTATAAGGTTCCACAGCTGGAACTATGTTGCTGAGGCTGGTCTCAAACTCCTGGGCTCAGGCAATCCTCTCGCCTCCACTTTCCAAAGTGCTGGGATAACAGGAATGAGCCACTGTGCCCGGCTAAATTAACTTTTCATTGTTAAAGAGTAAAGAATAAGTAAGAGTAAATGAAGAGTTTAACTTGATATATAAGAAAACCACAAAATAAGACCAAGATAATGGAAATTAATCTCTGAATTCTTAATTAGAAAATCTCAAACTGTAACAAAACACAAAATTTTAAAGCCTTGAAAAGAAAGTAGTAAAAGTCAAACTGATATTTGAGAGATGCTCATATGAAAACATTTTAAAATACATACAATTCTGGCAAGACTAATACAAAAAGGTATACATGAAACTAGAAAAGAAGAAGGAAACAGACTATTTTTAACTCCACTCTAAACAATGGTTTTTTTTTTTTTTTCTTGAATCTGAGTTTCACTCTGTCATCCAAGCTGTGGCACAATCACAGCTCTCTGCAGTCTTGGCCTCCTGGGCTCAGGCGATCCTTCTGCCTCAGTTTCCTGAGTAGCTGGGACAACAGGCACATGCCACTATGCCTAGCTAACTTTTTTATTTTTAAATTTTTTTGTAGAGACAAGGTTAGGGTCTCTACAACCCTATGTTGCCCAGGCTGGTCTCACAGTCCTGGGCTCAAGCAATCCTCCCACATCTGCCTCCCAAAGTATTGGGATTACAGGAGTAAGCCACCATGCCATACAATGTTCATAAAATTAAAGACAATAAATCGTTCACTAGGAATTTTTTTTTAAGAGCTTAAGTGACTCAAGAGAAAACAAAATCTAGACCAAATCAGAGAGATGAAAAAGTTGTCAACCCAACTTCCTCTCAGAGAGGTAATGAATGGACTTAGTCGGGACAATTCTCATTACATTAAGACATTCTCCTACCTGAAGAGATGACGACGAAGAGCTTACCAACTTGTTTTATAAAGCTGTATCACCCTGACACCAAACCTTGACAAAAACAACCACAGACTGATGCCAATCATGGCTGTAGGTGCACAGGTACTAAATAACATGGCTGTAGATGCAGATCAAAGTGCCAAGTCAGACGCTTTGAACAAACAAGCTTTATTTTAGAAACTTAGGACCAGTTAACAATCAGGAAGCAAATATAAAGTAGAGGGGAGGGGAGCATGTATATATATGTCTTGGGTACCAAAAGAAAATTTTTAAATCTGAGAAAAACTCAACATTTACTCCTGCCAAAAACATTCAGTAAACTTGAAATAAAGGCTGGATGCTTAACATCATCACAAATATTTATTTCAACCAGGCAACAATAAACTTTAAACTTAACAGTGAGATGTTAGAGGCGGTCCCACTAAAGATGGGGAGAGACTGAGGTTGAACAACTTTCTAAGAAGTCTAGCCAACACTGCCAGACAAAGAGACAGATGTAATCATCAAGAAGACAAGAAAAAAAACTATGTTATGTGAAGACAAAGAGACCATTTGAAAATAATTCAGCAGCCGGGCTCGGTGGCTCAGTCTGTAATCCCGCGCCTTTGGGAGGCTGAGGTGAGTGGATTGCCTGAGCCCGCAGGTTCGAGACCCACTCGGGCAACTTGACGAGACCTCATCTCTACAATAGATAAAAAATCAGCTGGGCATGGTAGCGCACGCCTGTAATTCCAGCTACTCGGAAGGCTGAGGCGAAAGGATCGCCGGAGCCTGGCAGGTTGAGGCTGCGGTGGCTGGGAGCGGCCACTGCACTTCTCTGGGCGACAGAGTGAGACTCCAACTCAAAAAAAAAAAAAAAAAAAAAGAAAAGAAAAGAAAACAATTCACCAAGCTGGGCACAGTGGCTCATGCCTATAATCCAAGCTCTTTGGAAGGTGGAAGTGAGAGGATTGCCTGAGACCATGGGTTTGAAACCAGCCTGGGCAACTTGGCGAGACCTCGTCTCCACAATAAATCAAAAAATTAGCCAGTCGTGGTGGCATGCACCCGTCATTCCAGCTACTTGGAAGGCTGGGGTGGAAGCATCACCTGAGCCCAGCAGGTCGAGGCTGCAGTGGCTGTGAGCGTGCATTCTACCCTGGGCGACAGAGTGAGACTTCGAATCAAAAAAAAGAAAATGAAAATAACTCACAGAAGCTCTTAAAATATTATGGAATCCTACATACAAGTAAGCAAAACTATATAGTTAGAAATAAACCGAACATCAAGTGTGCAGACCCTCAATAAAGAAATGTATAAAATTTTGCAAGATTCCATAAATAAAATTAAAGGGAAAAATGTTTTAATGGAAAAAATATTCATAAGCAGGAGATAAAATTTGAAATCCTTGGGCAATAATGATTTAATATATATCAACACAAAAAAGAAAAGACTCTGAGAAAAACGGGCACAACACAAACTGCACAGAAGAGAAACAGCTGATGAATTTTGGGAAATAGTCATAAACCTCACAAATAATATATGTTAAAACAATTATGTACCAAGTTTTATCACTTCAGGTGAGCAAAGATTAATAGAAAAAAATAATCAGCACTGGCAACAGTAATCAGGACTCTGATAAAGGACACTTCACTCTCGCACTCTCATACCAAGTACTTTACCCTAAGAAAACAGGAGGACAAGTGCAAGTATATATGTATGTATAAGGTGCGTACTCAGCTCTGACTGAAATAAGAACACACTGAAATCAACTCATATTTTAATAAAATAATTTTGTTTTAATAATTGAATTTTTAAAATCTCGCCTGGAAATACTGCTTTTTAAAATATAACATTAAAAAACAGAACAGAATGGAGTTGTTACGAAGCACAACGAAGCGTGCCATACATGGGAAGTGGCATGTGTACAGCATAAACGCAGCAGGTCGCCAACCAGAAGCAGTCTGCTTCATTTCTTCTTTTAAGAAGAGCCTCGGCTGTACACAGAAAATGTAAAGGAGATCAAAATAGCTGCAGTGGTGTCTTCAGATGCTGCGATTACGGATGAATTTGGGCCCCGCCTTACACCTGCATCCTTTTAATGACCATGGATTGATTGCATAATGACTTTTAAAAACTCTTTTTGGGCTGGGTGTGGTGGCTCACGCCTGTAATCCCAGCACTTTGGGAGGCTGAGGCAGGAGGATAGCTTGAGCCCAGGAGTTTCAGACCAGGCTGAGCAACATAATGAGATCTCACCTCTAAAAACAGAAAGAAAAAAAAAAATTAAGCTATATTGAGCTGCTCCCTTCCATGAGCCAAAAATCTGCTTTAGACTGGGCATGGTGGATCACACCTATAATCCCAGCACTTTGGGAGACTGAGATGAGAAGACTGCTGAGCCCACGGGTTCAAAACCAACCTAGGCAACTTGGTGAGACCTCATCTCTACGATAAATCAAAAAATTCGCCAGGCATGGTGGCACGTGCCTATAGTTCCAGCTACTTGGAAAGCTGAAGCAGAAGGACTGCCTGAACCCAGCAGGTCGTGGCTGCGGTGGCCGTGATTGTGCCACTGCACTCCAGCCTGGGCAACAGAGTAAGACTCTTGACTCAACAAAAAAAAAAACACCTCTTTTCAGATGAAAGCTATGACCTTTTTTCTGCAAAAGGCACTCGGCTGACCCTGCCTCCCTCTCAATATGTCCGTCATGAACTCCTGCCTAGCAGCTGCGGCTAACAGCACCCCAACAACACAGCACAGCAGGAACAGCACAACCCGCGAGGTAGAAGGATCCTGGGGTGCCGGGAGGGGGTCGCCATCTTTTGCAAGACAGTTCTGCCACACAGACCAAGGCCTGGACGGGACACGACGACACTTCAGCTCCCTGCCCCACGAGTGACGGCATCAACCACGAACCCGAAACCGGAAGCACTGGGATGCCACGGAACGACAGGAGGCTCAGGAGTCGACGGAAATCACACACCACGATCACTTTATGGCTGTCTCCACGCGTGTGATGGAAATCATAGATACCCTCGGGCGGTAGAGTGATGAGCGTTCCGGAGTGAGTGCGAGTGCGCGTGCGCGTGCGTGTGTGTGTGTGTGTGTGTGTGTGTGTGTGTGACGGCTCGTCTGCATTCTGCCCCCCATAGCCAGTTAACATGCATAACCTGTATTGCACTTCCATGGTTTTCCTGTTTATTTTTTTCTAATCAGGCTCAGACCGGCTTACACAACAGGATTCACTTTTACCGAAGCACAAAAAAGAGTGTAAACGGTGTGTCTAAACAGCAGTGAGCGGCTGCAAGGAAACTCCAGCAGGCCCCTATTTCCTTCCCCAGGCTTCCAAGCATCCTTTCCTGCAATGAGTAGCTATTTCTCTAGTAACTGAGAGGTCGCCTGGCTTCAGTCAGCACATCCTGCAGACCCCAGTACTTGGCTAGCACTTTCTAGGAGGTGAAATGACGGAGCCCTGACAAAGCCCAACTGAGAAATCTCAAGGGGCGCTTGCCTGCCACTCGTCTCCTGCACAAAACACATCAGAAGCCACCAGCACGCCAACATGATTCCCAGGGTAGCCCACAGACACAATCCTGCCATTCATGAGGCAGAGGGAAGAAAGATTGTGCAAAGGAGCCTGAACAGACAGTCTGTAAGAAAACGCCTCTGGAAACCAAGCTCGTCTCCTTCCCAGGCCTCGCCCCGTGTGGTCCTGGGGCACAGAGGGGATCCCAACCTGGGAAAGAAGAGACGCCGCTGAGGAGAAAGCTGAGCTGTGTCGGGGTGGGGCCACACAGACAGACACAGTATCCAGGCAGCGACTGTGCCCCTGCGGTAGAGTTCGGCCTGACCGGGGTCCGCGGCTGGAGCCCTGTTCTTGGTTAGTCCTCACCTGCTCTGCTTACCTCCCCAGGGTCCACAGCCTGGGAGAAGGAGCCACCAAGAAAGCACACAGCCCAGATGTCATTCATATACGACCTCACTTTAATTACCTATCTGAACACAAGAAAATAAGATCATCTTCTAAAATGTCCGGGGCACTAGAAAGTGATTTCCTAAGCCTCGGGACCAATTTCCTTGACTCTGTTAAGCAATGTATCAATATGTTCACTCTGGTAAGGTACAGGAAGGTGGCATTGTTGGAGAATATTAAATCCATTTCAGCAGCACTAAACGCTGAATTCCTCACAACCGCAGATGATATAGTGGATTCAGGATCATCCGCTCTCCTTTTTTCATTATATAACTAAGCTACTTTATCATTTAGTGATGTTCAAACATTAATGAGGGAAGAACTTCAAAGCAAGCTGATTGAGTCAGCAACACCTCAGCTCTGTCAGCAAAAGATAAACAATTCATATTTCAGAATACAAAAATTACCATGACAGAAAGGAACTCTCATGAAAATAACTCTCCTCACTGGAATCTGTACACTCAGGCTTTAGTTCTTAACTCCTGTGGGGGGAGGCTGCCCAATCTAATAGCATTTTCTCCAAGAAAATGCACATGGAATTTTATGTAAAAAATTCAAAGGACTAAAAGGCACCCTGGTGCCAACTAACAAACCTTAGGGTGACTATGAGAAGGCAGAATACCCATCCTTGAGAATTATACGGCACCTTTAATTTATAAAAATGCGTCTATCCAGCAACCAATAGTCCAATTCTACATCAGTAGGTACAGAATTTAATTTAGTCCAAAATCACTTTTCAGAGAACTTCAGTGGCTTTAATTCTAGAAGGAAAGTGACACATCCTTACAAGAGTAATTTTTAATTTTGTATAATAAAAAACTAGAAAAGATGCTGGGCCCAGTGGCTCATGCCTGTAAACTCAGCACTCTGGGAAGCCAAATCAATAAGACAGCCTGAGCCCAGGAGCTCAAGGCCAGCCTAGGTAACATAGAGAGATGTTATCTCTACAAAATAAATAAACCGACAAATAAAAAAATTAAGACTAGAAAAGGGCCATTAGGGGTCTTTCAAAGCACACACACTTCCTGAACAAAGCAAGGCACGGCCGACTGTCTCACATCCTGATCCCCACAAGGGCCCAAGCCAGGTCCCAGCAGAAATGAGGGGAGCTGCTTCCTACCCGCAGCAAAGGCAGAGCACATGACAAAGAACATGCCCACGGCGATCCTTTTCAAGGACGATGGGAGTAAGCCATGTCTTCTCAAAATGGGGTCGACCAGCTTGTCCTTCAGGGGTATGAGCAGGAGGATGAGCACAGCGTCGAACATGGTCAGCCAGGCAGCTGGGAGCTGGGAGAGACAGGATGCGGTTACCCTCCCACACCGTAGTGCCATTTGTCCGACAGCAAACGTCTAGCAGGAGAAACTCATTTAAAGAGCAGTCCCTGGCCAGGCACAGTGGCTCGTGCCTGTAATCCCAGCACTTTGGGAGGCAGAGATGAGAGGACTGCCTGACCCACAGGTTCAAGACCAACCTGGGGAACATGGCGAGACCTCGTGTCTACAATAAATTAAAAAATTAGCCAGTCATGGTGGTGCGTGCCTATAGTTCCAGCTACTTGGAAAGCTGAGGCGGATGGAACACCTGAGCCTAGCAGGTGGAGGCTGCAGTGGCCATAAGCGTGCCACTACACTCCAGCCTGGGCAATAGAGTGAGATTCTGACTCAATAACCTCCCAGGGGGAAATTCTCTGTCTCAACACAATGGAACTGCGATAAGCCTTATTTCTTTTCTTTTTTTCTGAGCTGGAGTCTCACTCTGTCACCCAGGTTGGAGTGCAGTGGCACACTCATGGCCACGGCAGCCTCAACCTTAGGCAATGCTTCTGCCTCAGCCGGCCTTCCAAGTCGCTGGAACTATAGACACATCACCACATAGGCTAATTTTTGTGATTTACTATAGAAACGAGGTCTCACCAAGTTGCACAGGCTGGTCTCGAACTCCCGGGCTCAGGCAATCCTCTTACCTCAGTCTCCCAAAGTGCTGGGATTACAGGCTGAGCCCCCATGCCCAGCCAGAAAGCCGCATTTCTAAACAGATCTGTATTTGTTTTTCTGTGCTTGAAGGGAAAAAAAATCAGATGAAAAATATTAAGGAATGCTGAACTGATGTTAACTCAACTTACTCTATCAAATGATATAACCAACAAAAAGTATCTAAAATAAATAAAAATTCCATTTCAGTTAACAATGCTTTTAGTTCCTGTGAACCAGTGACAGCTATAAACTCACAGGAGGAATGCAAGTGACAATAACATCCAGGTAGAACTTCCAGATCATGTCATTTGTTCTTACCGTATGTGGAGTGGTCGTAATACTTGAAATTTCCGGAATCTTCAAATGAAGACTCTGCAAAACATATGTCGTCTGCATCTGGGCATAAAGAGCAGCATCGTTATGTGTCAACCAAGTGCGCTTTTCAAACACTCCACACAGACCGAGCCCCTCCCCTAACTAAGCTCTGAGCTAAGACACAGCAATGACTCCCAGGAACAGACGGTGGCTCAAGTTTAAAAACAGACAAGTCAAGGACTTCGTCATCATAAAAGTCCTCTAGAGATCAGTTTTGAAAAAGAACAGCCAGTTGTCCAAACGAGAAAGTAAATTAATAGGAAGGACTGGAAAACAGAAGCATACCTGTTCTTAGCTTATTTTTTGGAAAGGTTTTCAAAATATTTAAAGCAGCCAAAATGAGTCCATAACCAAAAAAAAATCCAAGATCCTGATACTCATGAGAAAAAAATCACCCAGCCCCAAGTACTGCAGTACTGGCCAAACAAGAGCTGGGGCGAGGCTTCACGGGAAGAGAAAGGAAATTAAACCTGTTTGTCACCACTCACTTGGAAATACACTGTCCAGTAAGGTATCAAAGCCAAGAAAACAGGGACAATCTTGACCAGAGCTTTCACATCTTCCACTGTATCTTCTGTAAAAGGCCCTCCGTGAGACATCTTACATGAATCAAACAGACTTTGTTTAGAAGATTGCTGAAAGACTCCAATGCCTTCACTTTGGGAAATAAAATGAAGGAATTAGTTTTCTTCCACCCCCAGCAATCAGTTATTTGGTCACAAATTAAATCTGGAGGCAGGAAACCAGCTCACTGCACTGCATCTGCCCTAGCTCATCCGTCGTGTGCTAACTGCACAAAGCACACACCACAACCTACTTTGCTTCTAAGCAAAACGAATGGCCGAAATAGCTGACCAAAGGGCTTTCCAGGCACAGTGTAACGGCTACTGCCATTTTTAACAAGACCAGGGGTCCTGGGGCTGACAGTCTGAGCCATGGCCGGTCCCGGCCCAGCAGCCTCTGTAAGGATGCCCATAGCATGTCCAAGCTGGAACGACACCAGCTGTCTCGCTGGGCTGGTGTCTGGAAAAGGATGCGCTGGACTAGTCAAACTTTTAACTAGCTGGCTTATCAGATGTCGGCCTGACAACAAACACCAACGCTGGTAAGTAAAACCATGCTGGTCTACTCTAAATGGAGTCACCGGCCTGATTCCAAGGGAGAGACAGGAACTCTACCATCTCTCAGGTTAAGAAGAGCTGGGGCAATGCTATGGCCATGATGAGGACATCCCCGCCTCTGCCCCGACAGCAGCCACAGGGAACATCAGTGCACCCTGCCCCTGTGTGCTCCGTGGGGTGGGGACTCAGACCCAGGTAGCCTGGGCTTTAGAGCCCGAGGCCCTGGCCCCTGCAGGACCCACTGCCCTGCACTCTGCCTATGTGTACCACGTCACACAGTCGGGCACGGGCAGGGCACTCCAAGTTTCACGCCTCACTCTGGTCCTGCTTCATCTGAAAAATAAGTAAGTCCCGCTAGACAGTTCCAAACCCTCTAACGGGGGAACATGAACTAAAGATCTTAGTGGTAAAATAGGAAGAAAAAAACGGTACACATTATTCCAGAAAACCAGAAATATCAGGAGATAATTACTGTTCATGGCTTCTAATTCTCGGACTCAGAAATAGCAACTGTTTGCCTTCCAGTTTATAAATTCGTGCCCCATTTTACTAAGATGCCACTACCTTATTTTTGTCATATAAAGCTAACATTTTAGGTCTGGACATTCAGAGTGGGGAAAAATTAAAAGTCTGAAACCTACAACTTAATGTTTTAGTCAAATTTTAGACGAGAAATCTAAATTCACTTCAGCAAACATCTACTGAGTGCTCGCTGTGCCCTGCACTGTTCTAAGTGGGACTGGGATAGAAAGACGTTTGTAAAAGACAGGATTCCTGTCCCTAGTCAGAAAAAACACTCAAAGTGAAACTCTAAACTCCAGACATTAGTCTTGCTTTTACTTGAAAACACTCATACCTTCAACCTTCAACTGCTATTCTTTTTTTTTTTCCAAAAAGGAAATTTACAGTCGTTATGTACCTAGTACAAAACCAGTACAGTGACTTACCACATCATATTAAATATGTGTTTCTCTGAAACCATGTAAATGCCAAATAACAAACCCATTTTCACACAAAGAATCATTCACACAGGTTACTGGTTGTTACTTCTGCTTTACATCATTAAAATATTTTAAAAACTGCTAAGTCAATATGCAATTAAAAGGTTACCTGCTTCACACACAGCTAGTGTTCTATTTTGCAACGTACAAGGGTCTGACATGAAGCCACAGTCACAAATGACATCAGAACATGGACAAGAGCCCACTGCTCCTTGACCCCAAAGTTCAAGACACCCGTGCCCCGAGTCTCTCTGCACAGGCTACATGTCCCCTCCAGGAAAAGTCTCAACTCAGTGCATATCTCAAAGAAGTTTTACAACCACTCCACTCCAGTCTGAAGAACTGAACACATTTCCATTTCTCATTTAATATCAGCATTAAATCATCTTCAAAACATAGGCCAGCCTGGAGCAGAAACCGAGACCAAGCCAGATGAAATCAAGTGCCATCACTCAGGATGACTGGACAGACAGGCTGTTTACACCTCCTCAAGGCACCCGTCCCACAGAGACTGCTGCCAAGACCCTGCCCACAGCACCCTGCTCAGCCTCACTTGAATCCCGTGGGATGAGTTCATCTTCAGTGAACAAAAAGGAAAGCTGGGCCTGGCAGGGTGATCGACTCACCCCAGGTCACAGAGTCAGTCCATACAAAGAGCAGAGCTTGAGAGTTCTTTAGACTGTCCACTTGTCTGCAAGCGAGTCCTTTTTTTTTTCTTGTTTTTGCACAAGAAGACGTCTAAAACAAATCTCATGGAAAATCAGTTTCCTAAGCGAAAGTAGCTCCAAACCCTCTTCACCCTGCCACTGGTGCATCAAAACCCAAATCTGTCCACAGAGCAATGCTGTTTTCTTGTAGAAACGTCTATCAGGCATCACCCACACAGACATGCTGAAACTGTAAGGTTGGTCCTGAAAACAGCTGTAATTTGCTAATGGGTACTTAATTTACAGAACAGACATCTAGGGTACAAAATGCCGCTCTTGTCTAATAAAAACAAGGCCCTGGCAAAAGGCTAGTGTCTGCTGCCAAGACTGGGCTGCTTTCATGTTTCACAATTCCTTAGAGTGGCGCAGCATTTGTGGTGTGGTAGTGTGGAAATGCAAGTATGAACACCACAAGGACCCACCAGCATCTCCAGGGGGTCACCCAAGTGACAAGGGAACGTGCCAGCACTGCATCTAGAGCAACTGGGGAAATGAGAGACGCTCAGCCTGCAGCAGAGGTGGCCATAGGAGCTATTCTGGTGCAGTTCCCACCTGCCATGTGGAAGGAGGACTAGACGCATCCATTATAGCTCCAAGGACACAAACAAGACAAACACAGACAAGTTGCAGGGAGGTAGAGTGCCAGTCACCTGCGAAAAATGACCAGCAACCTGCGCTGTCAACCCACAGCATGATGCCCTGAGAAGCAGGGGCGCCCCTGGCTCCGTGACCAACCTCCCACCCAGTGGTCATCAGGAATCCTTAAGATGTTCCAAATATCCCAGGAGGAGACTGACTACAAAAGGTCCCAGAGACTGCTCGGGGGTGCTGGGAACCCTGCATACCTCGACTGCACTGTCCAGCTGTCCTAATTCACAGAACTGAACAGCTAAAACGGGTAAATTTTTATTACATGTAAATTACACCTCAATAAAGAACAGCACAAAAATTTCCACGTTCTCTTCTTGGGCTACAATCTGGACTTCTCTTTGTTAACCTGCATCTGACGTCAGCAAACATCAGCTACAGTTTGCCAGTGACTTGGAGGGGACTTTCCATGTTAAAATCCCAGTTCATGGGGTTCTGAGTGCTAACACTGGGTAAGTCCCAGGAAAACATGTGATCTGGTCACCCTAACCACAGCACAACTCTCAGAGACTGCACTTGTCAGACTGACTGACAGGACCACAGGCAACAGAGTCCATGCCAACCTGGCGACTGCCGACAGCTAAGAGGCAGCACCTTACTTTGTGACAAGGGGAGAGAGGCACCCACAGCAGCAACTGCTTATGTATTTCAAAGTTGTTTTGCGATAAAAAGAAATGCATCTGGAGCAGGCATTCTGTCCACGCCCTCTGCAAATGTCTACCTCTCAATCTGCCACTAAGCAGCCACGGGCTTCCATCTGTCCTAGCAGAGAGGGCCAATGCACCATCACATGGAAATGTAAGCCAGGGTCAGGCCACTGGCCAGAGTCCAGGACGAGGAAAAGAATCCCAGACCTGCCTCCTCGAGCGAATGCTGGGTTAAAGGAGACAAGACATGTGAACCACTCAGCCCAGCACACAGCAAGCACACAACACACCTGAGCTAGCATGGCCACCCAAGTCACTGCTAAGTCCTAGCCACCTGAACTGTGACGGGAAGAAAGTGCTCACCCACTGCTGCGGCACCGCCCACCACGCGTCCGGGCACAGCAGGAGTATGTCAGTATCCTGAACACGTCGGTGAAAGCACTGCCGTCGGGAGGCTTGGTGATGAACACGCTCTGGCCGCAAAGGAAGACCACCAGCGCAAGGCCCACGCACACTGTGGGGATGGCGTAGCCAGTCACAAAGCTGATGTTCTGCTGGATGTAGGCAATGCCCCCTAAAGACAGGATGGCTCCCAAGTTAATGCTCCAGTAAAACCAGTTGAAAAACCTCCTGGTGGCTTCCGGACCTCGGTCTTTAACCTGGAACAACAGGGAAGAAAAGCACTTGAAACATGGTGTCAACTTCAGGGATGAAAAGGATATGTAATGACTGGATTAAAACTATTGCTGTGTCATCACAACCAGTAAGAAATGCAGTCTGTCAAGGTGGTGTCTGCAGACACATCCAAGGGTCTCCTAACACACAATATCCTACACTTTTAATTACTACAGTTGCTGCTCTTAATTATGCTGAATTCCAACAAATCCTAGAGTGTTTTTCAAAGTATGTGGGTCAGCTACCTACCTTGGAATTATCTGTAACGCTCCTTAAAAACACAGCCTCAAGCCAGGCTCAGTGGCTCAGCCTGTAATCCCGCGCCTTTGGGAGGCTGAGGTGAGTGGATTGCCTGAGCCCACGGGTTCGAGACTTGCCTGGGCAGCGAGACCTCATCTCTACAATAAATCAAAAAATCAGCCGGGCGTGGTAGCACATGCCTGTAATTCCGGCTACTCGGAAGGCTGAGGCGGAAGGATCTCCGGAGCCCAGCAGGCGAGGCTGTGGTGGCTGGGAGCAGCCACTGCACTCCAGTCTGGGTGACAGAGTAAGACTCCAACTCAAAAAACAAACAAACAAACAAACAAACAAAACAAAAAAAAAAAACCCACAGCTTCAGGCTGGGTGCATTGGCTCATGCTTATAATCCCAGAACCTCGGGAGGCTGAGAATTGCCTGACCCCACCAGTTCGAGACCAGGATGGTGGCACACACCTGTGGGTTCCAGTTACTCAGAAGGCTGAGGCGGAAGGATCACCTGAGTCCAGCAGGTCGAGGCTGCAGTGGCCATAAGCATGGCACTGCACTCCAGCCTGGGTGACAGTGTTAGACTCCAACTCAAAAAATAAATAAATATAGCTTCACTTCACAGGATTCACATTCCAGTTCTGTTGAATCATCATCCCTGGGGTGGTGGCCCAGGAATCTGCATTTTTAACAACCCTCCAGGTGACTTCTATTCACAGGTAAGCCTTAGAACCACTGCTATATAGTGCCATGCCTTACTGAGCTAAATACGTGTGCCATGAGACACCCAGCAAATATGCTAAGACATCAAAAGGAACACTGCAGGTAACACATGCTCAAAGAGGCCAAGGCGCCAAGCCCATTGCAGCTGGTCACCTGGGAATCAGAGCCTTTTTTAATTTGTTTGTTTGAGTCAGGATATCACTGTTGCCCATGCTGGAGTGCAGTGGCAAGACCGCAGCTTGCCTCAGCCTTAAACCCCTGGGCTCAGGCGATTCTTCCACCTCAGTCTCCCCAGTAGTTGGGACTACAGGCACATGTCACCACACTTGGCTAATTTTTTATTTTTTTGCAAAGATGAGATCTTGCTGCATTGCCTAGGCTGGTTTCCAACTCCTGGGTCCAGGGATCCCCCTGCCTGGCCTCTGAAAGTGCTAGGACTACAGAAGGGAGCCATCGCAGCCAGGCAAGAATCACAGACCTTGACAGGCTTTAGGCAAAGAAGATATTACAGACTGAAATACAATCACATGCTATTTTTAGATTAGTAAGTCTATCAGTGGAATCAGCAGACACTCTGATAAGGACAGAGATCCCAACAGGCTCAGGAATCTTTCTGGACTCCACCGAGAGAGGGACAGTAAGGCCAGCAACATCCAGGGTTGCTCCCTTTACCAGGCTGCGTCATGGGAGCCCAAGAGGTGGGACAGGTCACTTGGGGGCAGGTACACCTGTAAGCTTTTCCTCCCACCTGCGTTTTTACATCTAAATGGACACTGCGAGAATGAGTCCCATACAAGGCACCACGCGCAAGTTTCATTTCATAAAATTTTCTAACTAACTAGCTAGCTAAAGGCTGATGCCGGATCTCACACACACACTGTCTTGTCTTGCTGCGTTAAAAACTTCTACAGTCTCGTCCTTAATTCCAGGCTGTGAAGGGCTCGAAAATTCTCACTCCAGTAACAGATCTGGCTTCTGAGTCACAGAGCAAGCTCCTCTACTGATAACAAGTTTTAATGGGGCCAAAACATCCAATTATGCTATGCCTAAGCACAGGTGTCTTTTTAGCAGCCATATTACTTGATACAGTACCTGAAGCTCTATTTTTTTAAGATTAGAGGTGTGACATCTATAATCAAAGCTTTGTACTCCTCTGTAAAGGAAACAGAGCAAAAGAAAAAAAAATGTGTGCTCCTCAAAAGAAAAAAAAAACTTGTTTTAAGTCCAAATGATTAAGCCTGGCTGCTGTATTGGCAAGTAGCATTCTTGAATTAATTATACAGTAACAACCATCTCAAATTGACAGGCTGAGTTGTAACAAATCATACGTTCTGAGTATACACTGTTCCCCATCCATGACAGCACAGAACTGAGGTCCTAGACCAAAGGAGGTATCACGAGTGAAGAAAGGGTTGGTAATGAGAATTTCTTACATATGGAAGGCACACACAATTCTTCACCAGGACACACAGCATTTAAATATGATTAAACAGTGGGTACCAACATGCACGTTATACTGGACACAGACCAGAAAAGAAAAAAATGTGAGCAGAGAAGACAACTAGTAGCGTTTAAAAAAAAAAAAAAGATTGCTCTGAAACACCTAAAAGATAGGAGGCCAGTAAATAAAGTATTGAAAGTAGTGGTTGGGCCAGGCTCGGTGGCTCAGCCTGTAATCCCGAGCCTTTGGGAGGCTGAGGTGAGTGGATTGCCTGAGCCCGCGGGTTGAGACCCACCTGGGCGGCGAGACCTCATCTCTACAATAAATCAAAAAATCAGCCGGGCGTGGTAGCGCATGCCTGTAATTCCAGCTACTCGGAAGGTTGAGGCGGAAGGATCGCTGGACCCCAGCAAGTGGAGGCTGTGGTAGCCGGGAGCGGCCACTGCACTCCAGTCTGGGTGACAGAGTGAGACTCCAACTCCAAAAAAAAAAATTGAAAAAAAAAAAAAAGAAAGAAAGAAAGTAGTAGTTGGGCATGGTGGCTCATGCCTGTCATCCCATCACTTTGAGAGCAAAGGTGAGAGGGATGCCTAAGCCCACAGGTTTGAGACCAGTCTGGGCAACCTGGCGAGACCTTGTCTCTCCAGTAAATCAAAAAAAATTGCCAGGCATGGTGGCACACACCTGTAGTTCCAGCTACTTGGCTACTTGGAAGGCTGAGGTGACAGAGTGAGACTCCAACTTAAAAAAAAAAAAAAAAAAAGAAACTACATTAGTAGAGACGTAACGTAAGCACCACTGAAATGCCCGGGGCACCCCATCACCCACAGTACACCGCACACACCGCCACGTTTCCTCTTCGCATAAAGCACAAAAAACTAGCATTCAAGTCTAACAAAATCCTAACCTTAACACTCCATTCATCCTCATTTAGCATGTAAGCCTTGTATTTCAATTTCCAAGGGTGATGCATCCAAATTCCTTAGTAAACCTGAGACCACCACATACCAGATGGTTCTGTAACAAAGGGGAGACCAGCTGCTCTGAAGGATATGTCACAGGCATCCCCACTCTTGGCTGACAGGCCTTCCCTTCCACCAGGCACATGACATCATCATAACCACGTCAGCACACTCCCCACCAAGGGAAAACAAGTCTTCACATGACTGGTCAAAAGATACCACCAAAATCCATTCAGAGAAGCTAAAAGAACAGAAGTGCATACAGTGAGTCACAGTAGGCTGGCACAGAAACATTCCTGAAGATGCACAAGAAGGTCATTTGTTTCCTCTAGAAAAAACTGCATCATCTGCTCATCTTTAAAATATATTTTTCAGCCTAGCTTGGTGGCTCAGCCTGTAATCCCGCGCCTTTGGGAGGCTGAGGTGAATGGATTGCCTGAGCCCGCGGGTTTGAGACCCGCCTGGACAGTGAGACCTCATCTCTACAATAAATCAAAAAACCAGCCGGGCATGGTAGTGCACGCCTGTAATTCCTGTTCCTCGGAAGCCTGAGGCAGAAGGATCGCCAGAGCCCAGCAGGTCGAGGCTGCGGTGGCCGGGAGCGGCCACTGCACTCCAGTCTGGGCGACAGAATGAGACTCCAACTCAAAAAAAGAAAAATACATTTTTCTTCTTTCAGATCACTATTTCAAATAATCTATTCATCAATGATCATGGCTGGGCACAGTGGCTCATGCGTGCAATCCCAGCACCACTTCCGGCCTAGGCAACATAGGGAAAGCTGGTCTCTACCAAAAAAAAGAAGAAAAAAAATTAGCTGGGTACATGGCTCACACCTGTAATCTCAGCACTTCAGGAGGGCAAGGTAGGAGGACTACTTGCCCAGGAATCAGAGACTAGTCTGGGCAACACAGCGAGACCCTGTCTCTATAAAAAGTCAAAAAATTAGCCAGGCATGGTGGTGTGCGCCTATCATCCCATCTACTCAGGAGGCTGAGGTGGAAGGATCATCACACATGTTGCACTTAGGTGGCATTGGTCAGGCCCTTAAAAGAAGCAGACCGACTGTGCTCAAAACCCTGTGGCCTGTGCCTTCACTGTTGCCCGTGAGCCCAGGGCAATGAGATCCAACTCTCACACAGGCAGCCCATCTTAGTGCATTAGAATAAGAAATCAGAGTCGGACGAAAGTCATCTTGACCACCCACTACCTACAGGACACAGCCCCTAAGGTCCGGCCTGGGTGACAGAGTGAGACTCTGACTCAAAAAAAAAAAAAAAAAAAAAATTCCATCCTGGCCCCACGGGCCCCCTCAAGTCAGGGTGTTTCCTAGAGGCCCCATATTGGAGACAAACAGGCGAGTGAGAGCGAAGCATAAAAAGCACCTGAACAAAACAGACTTCTCTAGATGGGAGGGACCACAGTAGGCCAGGCCAGCCCCATCTTGGAACCACAGGCTCTTGGTCAGGTCTCTTGCCAAGCAGTGGCACCACAGGACGAGGGCCTCCAAAACCCCCTCAAAGGTCAGTCGGCACCCACAAAGAGCAAGCACCCTAGCATGGGGTTCTTCTCCCCTAAGTGCTTTTCACTGGGAAGTAATTCACACACTA